AAAAAAAAAAAAAAAAAAAGAAAGAAAGAAAGAAAGAAAGAAAGAAAGAAAACCTATAGAATATCACTTCAATGGCGATTCACGATATAACAAAAAAAAAAAAAAATGGCTTTTGCTATTTAAATTCGCTTTAATATCAGGTTTCGCACAGAGTTTTTCTTATGAAAATTTCCATTATTTTCGTAAGAAAAAGAAAAAAAAATGGAAAAAAATAAAAAAAAGAATTTATGAATTCCACAATGGCCATGCGATCACCAGATAACATCGGAGAAATAAGACGATTCGTTTCATACGGAATGCTGTGTGTCATAAATCTGACGTCTTACGAGATACGTACATTAGAAGATCATGCAAAGATGCAAGATTGCTGTTACAGGGGCGTAATTGCAACCAGTTTCCCGGCTAGTCGTAACATTCAATGAAAATGTAGATTAGTTCCCCGCGCGTGCAATTTATCGCGCACATCTCACGCTTGCCGGGGATAAACAACCGCGGGGCCCTTAAGGGGGCCCCACCGCGCTAGGACACCGCCTATTCCAATTTGCATACGAAATAACACGGCAACGAAAATCGAAATCTGTGACGAGTTACATTCCACGTTGGTTCTACGTTCCAGTTTACGTTTTTTTAATTGGATATCGACCGATCGCGGGGAAAACTCGAACTTTTCGCGCGCACTGTGCATCGACAGATTTTACGCAACTTTTTTTTTTTTCTCACGTTCCATTTTTATGCAAATATAATACGCGATCACGAGGTTCGTCGTTTCGAGGCAATTAAATTTTTGTTTTGTTTTACCTCTTTTCGGGAGGTCGAGATTTCTGATTGATCGAGCCGCAAAAGAATTTGCGCGAAGATAAAAATGTTGGCAGCGGAGATAAAAATGAGCAAAGCAAATATCTATATCTTTATTGCTGTACAAGAATAAATGCAAAATTAGCGATAACTCGTGAATTCGAATGTGTAATTATTGAAGGGGAGGAGGGGGAAAGAAAGTTTGATGTGTCTTCTACGACAATTAAAAAAAAATGTACAATGGAGACGGTATGTAAAGATATGTTGCAATAAAAAGCGTAGAAACAAAAGTATAATACGAACACGATTGTCTCGCGTAGTAAAACCGAAACGATTGAAGACGATTTCTATAAATTAAAAAAAAAAAAAAAAAAAAAAAAAAGAAAAAGAAAAAATTACGATGGAACAATCTCTGTTTCAGGTGCAACCCGGGCAAAGTAAAACGATCGCTTACAAACAGGTGTCGTATCAATATAACAAAACTCTGGACGGAAAACCGATTGGTAAGAAGCGGATATCTCTTTCCCTCTTTAAATAAACCAAGCATTACACTCTCCCCTTTCCCCAAATCTTTCCTTTAAAGAGATCAATCGAATGAAAAAAATTTTCTCAATACTCAACATTTCGATCTTCGATCTTCGATCCAAATACGGAAGAATTCCAATTTCAAGATATTGAAGAAACGACGCGCCTTCGTTTCTCGAATCTTCGTTACGAAAGGAAACGGAAAGCGGAAGATTTCGATGAAATTCGAAAAGAAAAGAAAGAAAGAAAAAGTTTCGATAAAAAAGCTTTTCGCCGGATATGCACCGCTACGAATCCTCGGGCGTGTTCGCGAGGAATCGCGCGCAAGCGCTGGCGCGTTTTAAACGGATGGTGGAAGGAAGGGGGCTCTGGGGGCCAGTCTCGTGTCGCTCCTTTTAAGGCGTGGAACGGCCTTGCAGGTATACGGTTAATTAACAATGAGAACGAGAAAACGAGGGAGGGTTCGTAAGTTCGTTGATACTCGAAGGGAGTACTCGCCTCGCGCCACCTTTTCATCAATCGAATCGCCCATTTAACCGCGGCCCCCGTTCGTATAACAAAATTAAATGGGATTAAATACCTCTAATGAGGGAAAGGAATGAAGGAAACGAACGAAGGAACGATCGATGGAATAATTATTCTTCGATTTGTACATCTTCCGGTGTAAATAATCCGTTCGTTTCTTTATTCCGCTTTCTAACTACGAGTTATAGATATCTGGGGAGAGAGAGAGAGGGAGGGAAGCAAAGAAAGCATGAAAGTTGATAACATAAGATACGAATTTTGAGTTTGAGCTTCAACTTTTGTGTTTGATATCTTTAGAAAAAAAAAAAAAAAAATCCACGAATATACGTAAATAACATCGTACGTAATCGGAGAAAAATTTAATGGACAATATAAGAATGGAATTATCCTGTAAAAACTTATGTGTAAAAATTACAAGTTTATAGAGCTTATAATAAAAATATTACTAACCGTCGTTTAACGACGAGTGTTATATCCACACGGTCGAAACGAAACGAAACGAAACGAAACGTACAATTAAGCTAACGATGGATCAAAGTTGGCGCGTAAATTCGAGAGACGAATTTAACGCGAATACGCGAGGAAACGCGAAACGCTGATTCACCGTGAAACATTAATGTCTAATAATGTATGCATCACGGCGAAAGGGGGACGCGGCGTTGTTAGGTGTCGCAATTTCTGAAATTCTACGAGGTTCCGGTAAAACCGTGGACGCAGGTAACACGACAACGCCATTATACGCGCGGAGAAGATTTCCGCG